GCGCACGGCTGCAGAGGAGCCGGTGCACACAGCAGCCCGGAAGGCGGCCGCGTCTCTTAAGTCCCTTTCTGGGGGCAGCCCAGACACCTCTGAGAGGGGGCTGCCCTGACCTTGGGGCACATGTCTCCTCCGCCTTGGAATGACCCCAAGTGGCAGCACTTGCAGAGGACGGAGGGCAGGGACAGTGAGCTCTCACCCTCCCCTTTTCTCCAGCTCAGGGCTCCTCTACCGGGCTGTGGTTGGAATCACCTGGGCCCTTAGAAAGAGCAGGCGCTCGGGCCCCGCCTGGGAAGGGCCGATTCAGCTCAGCTGCCCGGGGCCTCAGCGTCGGAGGTTTTTCAAGACCCACCGGGGGTGAATGTGCGGCCAGGGTGGAGAACCTGCCTCGCTGCCGGGACAGAGGACTCACGTCACCCCTTGCCGGCTGCCTAATGGAGCCAGGAGCCCTGCGTTTTGGTCCTGGCTCTATCACCACTGGCTGTGTCATCTTGAGCACCTTCCTATGCCTCCTTGGGCCTCAGTTTCCCCATATGGACCCTGAAGGGGTTGGGATAGAACAGTGGGTCTCAAGCTCTGCTCACGGAGGCCCCTGAGGCCCCTCCCCGGTTTGACAGAGCAGCTTCCCTTCTGTCGACACGGGATTTTGTCCGACGCAGGAGCCTGGATCTGCCTGTGCGGGGACCTGGGGCTGCTGTGTCTTCAGCTCTCCGGACTGTCGAGGCTTCGGGAAAAGCTCTGTGTGGCACCCGTTTCCAGGGGCGGGGCATGGAGGACAGGGCAGGACTAAGGTGGGACAGCGTTTCCTGAACCTGGTTCTGCCGATGAGGCCGGCAGAGCTGGGGGATCCGACAGCCTCGCAGACGGGGAGGGGCAGCGGGAACCGCCGCCCAGAGCCTCAGCTGTCTGGGCCTCGGTTTCCTCTGCCCCCGTGCGGGCCAGCTCGGTGGGGACCTTGTCGATCCTCTTGCCAACGTTTCTGTTTGCAACCCTGGGAACCTTTCCATCAGTTTCCCAGCCCCTGAGGTACCTGGTATGGTTTTCTCAGAAGCCCAGGCCCTAAGCCCGTGAAGAGGGAGAATGGATTTGCGTTTGCAGGGGAGTGGGGACAGCACTGGCTGTGAGTCCTGGCTCTGTCACTTACCAGCTGTGTGACTCTGGGCAAGTCGCCTGCCATCTCTGAGCCTCAGTTTTCACAACTGTAAAGTGGGGGTAATAGCACACACATCATGTGGCTGTGGGAGCTACCTTCATCACCACTGTCACCATCTTCCTCCTCACCGTTAACGGAGGTGATACAAGAACACAAAGGAAGACCTGAGTCGCCCCTACACTCCCGGGGGCTAGGGGCCAGCATTTCCGAGGCAGCCCACTCTTAGCCGTGGCTCTGACGTCAGTGAACATCGGAATGGTTTCAAATGCAGATTCCAGGGCCCTGCCCTCAACGCTTCTGGTTCTCAGAATCTGCATTTTCAGTGAGGTGGGTCTGAGGTTGGATACTTTTAGGGTGGCCACTGTGCCACTTTGCCTGGGACCTTCTGGGTTTTCGCATAGCAAGTTCTGCATCTTAGGAACGGCCTCAGTCCCAGCACACCAGAGCTGTTGGCCCCGTACCAGGTTCTACCCGCCACTCACCCTCCTCCGCCGTGCCAGTCCTGTGTGTGGACGGCGTCAGCGGGGAAGAGCTGAAGCTCTGAACTGCGCCCCCCCAGGGCTGGGCTGGGAACACCACCCAGGCTGGCCCAGAAGCCAGCGCGTGGAGACTCAGCCACGCTGGCAGCTGGAGGTGGCCTGGCCGGAAGAAGAACTCTGTCCAGGCGAGGCTCTGGGTGCTTCTATCCTCCAGGAAATGGGGAACCGGATCCTCCTGTACCTCACGCAGGGTCTCCTCCCAGCAGCCAGCCCTGTGATCCCCCTAACACACAGCTCGCATGACCCGCATGAGCGCCGGGCTGGGGTCTGAGCCCTACCCTCTAGTCACTTCCCTTGTAGGCCTCAGTTTCCCTAGCAGTGAACTGAGGGCATGACTGTTGCTCATCCTGAGTGCTCTGGCCACACTGGCTGCTTTAATCTTCCCCTCACCCCCACCAGACAGAGGCCAACGCTGAGGGTCATTCCCTCAAGCTCACATACCCAGGCTGCCTGGCCCCAGGCTCCACCGTGTTGTCCCTCTTGATCAAGAACCATCGCTGGCTCCCCATTACCTAGGGAGGAAATGAAAACAAGCTTGTTGCAGCCTGAGTCTAAACTTGACCTCCTAGGGCCCCCCGGTGAAAACACTTTCCCCTCACGTGTGTCTCCCCCTTGTGCCTTCCCCAGCAACCCAGCCCCTCCCTCCACCTGCCTCCGTCCGCCCACTTCCTGCACCCTAATTTACCGTAATAACCCCTTCCCCGGCCTGGGCCGGGGGGGTTCCAACCTCTCCTGTCTATTATCACACTTGGGCCTCGTGACCGCCCATGGGGTTGGCCAAGTAGGTGTCATTATCCTACTTTATAGGTGAGATTGCTGGGCCCAGACAAACTAAGTGACTTAGTCAAGGTCACCTGGCTGATGTGTGACCCAGCCTGGTCCAGAACCTAATTCTTGACTCCGGTCTCAGTACCACCCAAGCCCCTGGCTTCTGTGGCCTCTCCCTTCCCCGACCTCAGACGTAACTTGTTCCCCTTCTGTGTGAATCCTTTGTCTGGGCCACTGCCCTGGGGCCCCCCTCCACCCTGTCAGGGATCTCCCAGCGCTCACGCAGGGCCTGGCGCATGGAGGGGCAGGGGCTGGGGTTTGGGGACTGTGGGCAGTTTTCCTACCGGAACGACCATCTCGGGTGTTCAGCCCCAGCTCAGGGCCACCTGGGGCCCAAAGAACAGCCTGGGGTTCGGGGAGCTCCATCAAAAGTTCACGAGCTTCCTGGGGAGCGGAGGTCAGGTGCCTCGGGAGTGGGGCTGACGGACGAGCTAAGGGTCTCCCTGGGTGTGAGAGGGTGCCCTTCCCACCTGGGTCTGTCTCCCTGTGTCTCTGTCTTTCTGACTCGCTGTCTCTGACTCTGTATCTCTTCAGGTCTCTCCAAGTCTCTTTGTCTCTGTCTCTCTGTCTCTGTGCCTCCATGCCGGGGGGCTGGCCCACACGCCCAGGGCAGAACAGGACAGGGGCACCACCAGCCCTGGAAATCACAGGCTTTGGGAATAGGGTTGCCAGACAAAATAGAAGATGCCTAGTTAAATTTGAATTCCAGATAGACAATGAATACTTTTCTGGTACGGGTATATCCCAAATATTGCATGGGCTATACTTATACTGAAGTGATTATTGGTTTATCTGAAATTCACATCCAACTGGGCGTCTGTATTTTTATTTGCTTAATCTGGCAGCCCTGCCTGGGAGGAGGAACGGGTATGTCAGCCCCTCCCACCTGGCGAGGACACCTGGCAAGGGCCTTAAACTGGAGTGGGCCCCCCACTGCCGGGGGAGCAGAGCCTGCTTAATTTCCCTTTGTATAAAAAAGCTGCTTTGAGAACTATGGGAATCGTGCTGGTGGGGGGTGAGGAGGGTGTCTGGGGGAGGTCTGCCTTCCTCTGAGCGGAGATGGGGATGGGAAGGGCCTGGGACGGAGTGGCCACCTGTGCAGACTTGGGGGAGCCATTTGCCCATCCTGAGCCTCAGTCTCCCCACGTGTAAGGAGGAGTAACAGTCTCCTGGGGCTGCGGCAAGGATCAGAGGGGCTCATGCGCAGAGAGGCTTAGCCAGGCCTGCTGTGCTGAAGGTACAGGGGACGGGGGCATCGGGTACTGTGATTATTGTCATTATTCCTCCCAGGGAGGAGGTGGGCAAGAGTGTGGACTCAGAAACCAGATGGCCTAGGTTTGGATCCCAGCCCTGCCACTTACTAGCCTCATGACCTTGGACAGGTTACTTAGCCTCAGTTTCCCCATCTGTAAATGGGGGACCGTAATAGATAGTACCTACCCCCTAGGGTTATTGAGAGGATTGCGTGACATAATACACAGAAAGAAACGCAAACAGAGCGGGCACATGGCGAGAGCTCAGGAAATGTCCGCTACTGTTGTCCGCAGGGACATATGTGTGCCGCTTCCTCCAGAGAGCCTTCTGGGCCCTCCGATTCACAGTGGCCTCTCCCTATGTGCTTTCCCACTGAGCTGCGACTCCATGGCCCAGAGCCCCATCTGGCTGCCCAGGAAATGCTGGTCCCCCACTCCTTGGTGGGATCAAAGGCTCCGGGGTAGGGGGGCGAGCAGTGGGTGCACCTGCCTCAGCCCGGCAGTACGTGGTGCACAGTCAGAGGACGGACAGGACTCCCAGACCAGCAGGAACGGGGAAATGCAGTCTCAGGGCCAGATGACGTCGTCGTGAATGTTTTAAAACTACAATTAACACCTGGTTGTTTGACTAAATCTGGCCAAGTTTCCCAGGTGACACTGCAATGTTGTAGACAAGCATGAGCTCAGAGTCAGAGATACCTGGCTCTGCCATTTGATGCTGTGTGACCTCAGGCTTGTTACTAGACTTCTCTGAGCCTGTTTTTCTGCTGTCTCATGGGGATGATACTCATCTTGCAGACTTTAAGAGTGAAATAAACTGGTGTCAGGGGTCTGGCACAGCAGGCCCTCGACCAAATTGAATACCCTTCCTAGGGAAGACCCAGGGATACCGTATCACCTGCTAAGGAAGCAGAGGGTGAGACTTGGGGTGAGAGCTGCTCTTCTTAAAGCTACAGTCTCAGGACTGCAAAGGGGTCCATGCGCTTGCTGCCAACTGGCGTTCACTGAGCGCTTCGTGCCCGGTTCTGCGCTGGGATCTGATAAAGCCCACAACTGAGTTCTGACTTCCGAGGAGCTTGCAGCTCTGTTGTAGCTCTGTTGCAGCTCTGTTGGGAGCTAAAGAAAACGCACAAGGGAAATGGTAATGAACATGGAGTTTGGAACGTGAGCATGTGTGTATGTTTGTGTGGGGTCCAGGCTTACCTCCCAGGAGCTTGCTGTGAGGGTCCGAGGCCTGGGGTGGTCAGGGAAGGCTTCCTGGAGGAAGCAGAGCTTGAGCCCAAGCTCAGCTATCTGAACAAGTGTTGTCCCTTCAGCATTTCCCATGGCTCCCTGTCCTTCCCAGGTCAGTACCCGAGGGCACAGAGATGTTTGAGGTGTATGGGACTCCCGGCGTGGACATCTACGTCTCTCCCAACATGGAGAGGGGCCGGGAGCGTGCAGACACCAGACGGTGGCACTTCGATGCGAGTTTGGAGATCATCGTGGTCATGAACTCCCCCAGCAACGACCTCAACGACAGTCATGTAAGCTGGTCCCCTGGTCTGGGGGGTTTGGCTGGGGGAGGCAGTGGTCCAGCTCCAGGAGGGCCCAACGTCCTCCGTCTGGAGCGCAGGGTGGTGCAGGGTGGCACAGGGGCAAGCGCCTGGCCTTGGAGCCAGACTGCTGGGGTTTGAATGCCAGCTCTGTGTGTCCTCAGCAGTCATTTCACCCCTGGGGCCTCTGTTTGCCCATCTGTAAAATGGGGACAATCATAACACCGTCCCCCAGTGTTGCTGTGGGGCAGAACACCAGCCAGCGCTTGTTCCTTCTCTTGCTTCCCAAGATCCCTTGTGAAGGGAGAGGTCGTCCCAGTTCTGCTGTGTTGGGCCTCAGTTTCCCCATGTGTAGGCTGAGGGTTGATTAGGTGATCTCTGTCTCTCTGAACGAAGGAGAGAAAGCAGGGATGGAGAGGGACATTGCTGCCTGGGGAGACCCCTTCCTAGGTGACATTTCTGCAAGGTGCTTTGCTTTCCCCTAATCCGCTCTCTTCCTGACTCCATTCGCCGGGTAGGGGGACATTTAAAACGGGAGAAATGGGTGGCCTTTGAGCTCGGCACTGAGCTGATGGGACCATCACTCGGCACGTGGGAGTGGGGGGGTCCCAGTCCACGCCAGGGGCGATGTTTCAGAAACTGGCCCTTTAAGGAGCACTGACCGTGTGCCAGGTGCTGGGCGGCCTTGACCTCACCCCGCCCTCACAGCAGCCCCGAGAGGCGGGGGACTGATCCCCGTTTCACAGGTGGAGCAACCGAGGTGTTCAAAGTGACTGTCCTGGGGCCACACTGCTAATGGGCAAGAGCGCTGGCACTCGATGCAGACCTGCCTGACACCTGGGGACAGGTTCCCTCCATTACTCCCCGCTCCGTTCCCACCCATGTATCTGAATCGAGCCTCTCCACTGAGCTCCCTGAGGCTTATGGGGCAGGACTCCACGAACCCATTTTACAGACAAGGAAACTGAGACCAAGAAGGGGTGTGGCTTACCCAAAGTCACATGATCTAGTGAGTGGCAGAGTTGGTAAGGGCCAGTACATGGTCGCTGTTCAGGAGTCCCAGGGACAGTGCAAGAGAGTAGACAGCCTGCGAGGGGCCTCTCCTGGGTGCCTGCTGAACTGGGAACGGAGTAGGTGACTCCCGCCCTGAATTCCTTGGCCCAGTGGCCGCCGGGGTTGAGGAAGGTCAGTGTCCCGCCGACCCCTGCCCTGGCTTTGGCCAGGAGCCAGATAGTTGTATGTCCGAGGCGAGCATCGGTGCTGGTGCTTGTCACATGAGGGGCAGTAACTGCAGGATTTAGGGGCTCCCAGGACTGAGGCGGTGAGTGGCCTCTGCAAGATCCTGACCCTCTGGCTGAGATGGGGACGTCAGAGCCCGAGAGGTGAGGGACCTGCATCAGGAGGGGATATCCAAGGGACGGGCATGGGTCGAGGGGGACTTTGATGCGCCTGCCTGCAACTGCTGTCATCCTCGCCCTGGACCAGCTACTGGGCGCTAGCACCATGCCAAGCATGTCACGCGCATCACTCCTTTCATCTGCACAGCCTGTAATCACTGCTACGGGGTGGGAGCCGTTATTATCCCCACTTTACAGCTGAGGAAATCGAGGCCCAGAGAAGATCAATAACTTCCCAGGATGTTCACAAGCAGTGGGTTCCGAATCTGAGCCCAGGCCATCTGACCCCAGAGCTCTGTACTTACCTCACAGGCCGCCGCCTGCCCACTGAGGACAATGGCTGGTGTTTATCAGGCGCTGCCTGTGGGCTCAGTCTTTCACACGTATTGGTTCTCAGCTGCACGATGATCCTCGGAGGTAGAGACCTGTATGGCCCCCATTTTGCATGTTAGAAAAGTGAGGCAATTCAAAAAGTTGAGGGGTCTTGGCCTAAGTCAGAGCTCAGAGGTGCCAAGCTCGAGCCCCGGCCTGAGTCCCACAGAGGAGAATGTTGGCTTGGAGAGTGTCCCTACACTCTGCCCAGTCCAGAACCCTCATTTTACAAATGGCACAACTGAGACCTAAAGAGGAGCAGGGGTTTGCCAAAACCACACAGCAGGTCATTGGCAGGACTAGACTCAGGTCTCCATAGACTCCCTCACAAATAGTTCCATTTTACAGACGTGCCAACCGAGGCATGGAAAAACAAATGGCACAGAGACGGCTACAGGAAGAGCTGGATTGGGAAACTCAGCCTGGGCCCCCTCCTCATCAGATCCCCCAAGAGCTGTTTTTGGGGTGGGGGCTCTTGGCTTCTGCCAACCTAACTCCGGCCCTATCTGTCTGCAGGTTCAGATCTCCTACCACTCCAGCCGTGAGGCTTTGCCCCTGGCCTACGCGGTGCTCTACCTCACCTGTGTTGGTAAGTTGGGGGCCATGCTGACAGTGTGGCCAAGGGACCTCAGCCAAGGATGGAGGGTGGCCATTGGGAATGACACTGAACAAGGGTCTTTTTATAAAAATCAACTACAGTAGTTTTATTTTAAAATTAAAGAAGTACACATTTAAAAAATTGAAACAGTACAAAAAAGTATATGTTGAAAAGTGAACCTCCTCCCTTCCAACCCAAGACTTCCAGTTCCCCAAACCCAGTATCCTTCTAGAGAAATGCTGTGTACTTACGCTACTTATACAAATAGACGTGTGCATACCTGTATATCCCCCCTTTCTCATACGCAAATGGAAACATACTATAGACACGGAACTGGACCCCACTTGTTCTAACTTAAATTTTTGCTGCTAATTCTCCACAAATCGATATACAATCTCCAAGCAAGATGACTCACTGTTAGAACTATCAGACAGGGAATGTAAAGTACCTGTGTTAAAGGTTCTAGTAGGAAAGGTGGACAACATGCATAAACAGACGGGGAATTTCAACAGAGATGAAAACTACAAGAAAGAGTCAAATGGAAATGCTAGAAATAAAAACCATAACAATAGAGATAAAAAATGCTTTCGATGCATTCATCGCTGGACCCGACACAGCTGAAGAAAGAATTGGTGAACTTGAAGTTAGGTCAATGGAATTTACTTGAACTGAAACACAAGGGGAAAAAAAGAGTGAAACAAATAGATGAAAAAACAGAACAGAGGCCCAAGAGCTCTGTGACAGTATCAAATGATCTAAACTCAATGAAATTCCCATCAAAATCCCAACATGGTTTTTTCATAAAACTTTATAGAGCTGATCCTGAAACTCATATGGAAGAACAAAAGTCAAGAACAGCCAAGGCAATTGTGAGGAAGAGTAGGGTGGAGTGGGGACTCACAGTTCCAGACAGCAAGACTTTTTCTCGAGCTATAGTCCTTGAGGCACTGTGGAGTGGGTGCAGGGTACATACCCGGAGCAAGGGAACAAATGGAGAACCGAGAGATCCATGTTCGTGTGATCATCATGTGGAAATAAATGAACTTGGAGCCCTACCTCACACCATACTCAAAAATAAATTGAGTTAAAAATCTTAAGGTGAAAATCAAAATTTTAAAGGTTTTGGTAAAGAATATCTCTGTAACCTCAGGATAATAAAGGTTTTCTTTAACAAGGCAAAACAAAAGCACAGACCATGTGGGGAAAGATTGAAAATTAGACTTATTAAAGCTAAAAATGTCTATACAACAGAGGACAAGTAAAAAGTCAAAGTATGGACGGGGAGGAGAAATTTGCAATGCCTGTGGCTGCCTTGGTGCACGTAGAATATGGAGAACTCCAATCATGAGAAAAAGATGAATTCATAGAAACAGGAGAAAACATGAATAAGCAATTCACGGAAGAGACAGCTCCAGTGATCAAAATCCACATGAAAAGATGCTTAGCTGAGCGTTGCCAAGGTTGTGGGGCTGGGAAACTCCTTACACGGGAGTGGGTGGGAGTTTGCATGGGTCCACGCACTTGGAAAGCAATTAGCAAGAAATTTGAAAATACTTTATCTGTAGGAACCATTTTTAGCAACAGAACTTCTGAGTTCTAGGGAATCTGTATTTTGAATTTTGATAGATATTGCCAAATTGCCTTCCAAAGAGACAGTATCAGTTTACATGCCTGCCAACAGCATAGGGGAGGGCCTTGCCAACACTGTGCGATATCAACTTTTTCCATTTTTGCCAATCTGATAGGTTGGCATCTTACTGTTGCTTTAGTTTGCCTTTCTTTAGTTGGGAGTGAGGTTGGGCATTCCCCCGCCCCCACCCCCGAACACGCACATTCATTGCAAAATACACATACGGAGAAGTGCGTAAAGCTTTTAATTTTACATGTGTGCGCACACGCAGAACAACCGTCGTCCAGGTCAAGAAACAGAACACGGCCAGCACTCCAAAGACCCTCCCACGCCCCTCTCTGATCATAACTCCTTCCTCCCCCTACAGGTAACCACTATCTTGTGATAAGTATTTCTTTGCTTTTCGTTCTGATTTTGTCACCGAAATATGCATACCCAAATTATATGGTCTAGTTTTGCCTGTCTGATTTCTTACAGGTGGAATCAGATTGTACATATTCTTTTGTGCTGGGGCTTCCTTTGCCCACATTGTGTTTGGGAGATTTATCCATTTGTCACACGGGGTTGGGTGTCTTTTCACGTTTAAACATCATTTCAAATTCATTCTTTCCTCCCTCCCTTCCTTTCTCTCTGTCTCTCTTCTTTAAGAACCAAGAATACTTAATTTTCTCAGAACAGGAAGATTGATTCTGACCCCTTGAATGTTCCATTTGTGTTGTAAAATCTCCTCCAGTTTCTAGGGAGAAGTGTTAAGAAGGTGGGATGGGGGTGGGATGCGGGGACTGTGAGCCGCTGATGAAGCTGATGCTGGGGGAGGCCACACAGCCAGGAGATGAGGCAGCTTTATAGACACAAGAATGTTCCAGGAGACCTGGGCTCAGTGCAGGGTGTGCCCAACACAGCAAAGTGTAGGGATGCTGATGACAGAGGGGTCAGGGAAGGCTTCCTGGAGGAGGCGGCATTTGGCCTGGGCCTTTGCTGTGACCCTGCTTCTTCCCGAAGGCCTCTTTCCCCAGCCCGAAGAGAGAGGGTCCAGATGCCCCCACCCTGGATCATGTCTTCCTGGGAATGACTTACATTTGCTCATTCCCAGACAGGCCCTGAGGTTGAGGTTAAAAAAGTAGAGGCCACCGGCCTGTCTTGGCTCTTGGGAACTTTGTGGACACTTACCCACCACCCTCCCCTTGCAGACATCTCTCTGGATTGCGACGTGCTCCGTGAGGACAGGCAGGACAGGGATTTTGTGGACAAGGTAGGTATGTCTGCCTGGGCCTGGAAAGTGGGAGTGGAGTTGGGGCTGCTCTAGGCTGGGGTAGGAGGGGCGAGGCCATTACAGGTATCCCCCTGCCTCCCAGCTGATGCTGAGTTCAGGGGAGCCAAACAGGAACCAGCATAGCTGGGGATCTTCTTTTACCAGGAGGAAAATCATCAAGAATTATCAGGCAGAGAGGCACCCAGCCCTGGGACTCATGACCTAGGTCAGGGGTAGGCAAACTTTTTCTAGAAAATCTACATAGGAGCTATTTTAAGCTTTGTGAGCCCTGCTGTCTCAGTTCTGCCACTGTAATGCGAAAGCAGCCACGGACAACACATAAACTAACGGATACGACTGTGTCCCAATAAAACTTTATTTACAAAAACAGGCGGGGGGCCAGATTTGGCCCACAGGCCATAATGTGTGGATCCCCTGACCTAGGTGAAAAGGGGAATCTACCACGTGCGAAACTGTTAAAGAACTTTGGACTGAATTGTGGCGGCACTCGATGTATTGAGAGTTCAGAGGAGAAGGTCACGGTGGGCGGGTGAGCGAGGAAGACTTCCTAGGAGGAAGGACACTTGAGCAGGGCTCTGAGGGATGCAGGAGGGAGGGCATCCCGGTGGAAGGCACAGCAGGAGCAGAGGAGGGCGGGAGGAGTGGAGGAAGGAGCGTGCTGTGAGACATTGCCTGTTGAGAAGGGGACACTGGCTGGAGGCGCATCACAGACAGCTGTGAAAGACAGCTCTGTGGTTTGGATTTGAGGGTGTGGGCAATAGGGAGCCATTGCTGTTTCTTGAGCAGGAGGTGCTTCAGTGGAAATGAGCCTGTCCCTACAGGGGGGGTGAAGGGCCGGGAGCTTGCTGGGGAGGGAGGCACAGGCCTGGTCTGGGCCCCCATCACGGGCTCTGTTTTGCCATTGGCAGCGGCAGTGGGTCTGGGGGCCCAGTGGGCATGGTGCCATCTTGCTGGTGAACTGTGACCGCGATGATCTGAGTCGTGAGGACCGAGACAACTGTGACCGGCGTGTGCGCTGCCTGCAAGGTGAGGGGGCTGGGGTGGCCCAGGTCGCTGGGTGTTCAGGGTCACTGTGCCCACAGGGGTTCCAACCCACAGGCAGGGCTCTGAAGGCAGAGCTCGGGGTCAGAGTTCCAGCTGCCAGACACACTCTCATGCTCCTCAACACCCATCTCAGGCTGCCAGCTGCCCCGCCCTAATGTCCCCAGTGTCGGTGGGCACTCGCAGAGTTTCCGGGGCAGAAACTCTGGAACGGGCTGCCTCTCCATTCTCTCCCTCCAGGGGAGAGGAGGATGCTATTGTTTGAGCACCTACTGTATGCCAGGCCCTTTCTCCAAATTCCCGTTTAATGATTCAAACGGGGGCTTGGGGGTCTCATCAACTCATTTTAGAGACGAGGGTGTGGAAGGTCAGAGGTCAGGAGAGTCCTGAAGTGGCACAGCCAGTCTGCGTCCGATCCAGGCCTTGCCCTTCCACCCCCAAGGGCAGGCCCCTCCCCCTGCACCTCTGGCCTGTTTCTGCTGCGCCCACCTTCTGCTAAGTCTGTGTGCGCCACGCTCAGCAGCCCCGTGGAGAATGAGGCAGCCGCATCCTGGGGTTGTGCCAGGTGCTGTCCACAGGAGATGTCACAGCCGTCTTCGGAGGTGGCATCACATGGAGATGAGAACCCTGAGGCTCGGGAAGGGAGGGGCTCGCGGTGTCACAGGGAACGATGCTGGGACAGAGACTAGGACCCTCACCTGTGTGATACCAGGTAGCCCTGACCTTGCACACACCTCTCGAGCACCTGTCGTGTGCCAGGACCCGGCTGGCTGTGCTACGCTTCGTGTCTCTCTGGGCAGATAAGGGGACATGGGCCCAGGGAAGGATTTGAGGTCACTGAAGACATCACACGCGTACAGGCGTCTTTGTGGTTTGCTCTTGTGGTTTCTAGTGTGTTCACAGAGCTGAGCTGGGAGACCCCCGGCCCTGGGGAGGGGCGGACAGGAGGAGGAGGTGCCCGTGTCCAGGGCCCTGAGTCTCCGCCCCGCTGTCTGGCTTCACAGACCTGGAAGACATGTCTGTCATGGTCCTGCGGACCCAGGGCCCCGCCGCCCTCTTTGACGACCACAAACTTGTCCTCCACACCTCCAGCTACGACGCTGAGCGGGCGCAGGTCTTCCATGTCTGCGGTGAGTTCATGCCGTCCCCCTTCGCAGCCTGCGCCACTGCCAGGCACCGCCAGGAGCTTCATCTTCCTGCCTTGGGTTTGTGGGCAGGGTCTGCTCGGGCCCCAGGAGACACCTTTCGGAGTGACACTAAGAACAGCCAGAAGTGGGCCTTTGGAACTAATCAGCTAGTGTCCCAGCACAGTGCCTGACCCAAGGTCATTTTATAGGATAAATGTATTTTAGTTTAGTGTTTTCTTGGGTTTTTTTTTGAGACAGGGTTTCACTCTGTTGCCTGGGCTGGAATGCCATGGCGTCATCCTAGCTCACAGCAACCTCGAACTCCTGGCCCTAAGCAATCCCCCTGCCTCAGCCTCCCGAGTAGCTGGGACTACAGGCATGTGCCACCATGCCCAGCTAATTTTTTCTATGTATTTTTAGTTGTCCAATTAATTTCTTTCTATTTTTAGTAGAGACGGGGTCTCGCTCTTGCTCAGGCTGGTCTCGAACTCCTGACCTCAAGCAATCTTCCCACCTCAGCCTCCCAGAGTGCTAGGATTACAGGTGTGAGCCACTCACCTGGCCCAAATGTATTTTAAAAATATATTTTAAGCATGTTTAGAAATTCTCATTATCAAAAATTTCAAGCATACACAAAAGGAGCAGTGTGACGATCTCCCACGTGCCTGTCACTCAGAGTCAACGATTGTTGCTGTTTGGTCTGTCATCCTCATCTATCCCTTTTTGTGTGCTAGAACATCGTAAAGCCAGGCCCAGACACATGGATTTCACCCCGACACAAATCAGTTTGTATCTCCGAAGAAAAAGGCTGTTTTACATAGACACAATGCCACAATCGTAGCAAATATAAGGTCTTAACACGTTTGAAAAATAAAAATGTATACAAGCAATAAGATGCTCATTTTTAAAACAATTAGACAATATATGAAAGTGTAGAAAGAAAAACTGTAAGAGTTCTCCACCCCTGCCCCTAAATCTGACTCTTAAAATGTGTTCACCGTTGACAATTCAGTCTGTGCTCTTCCCACTTTATCGTGTGTGCACTCGAGTCTGCGCTTGTGTACATGTTCTGCTTTCCAACCTGTTTCTTTCATGGAATAATTGCCCTACACATCTTCCCCAGCCGCAGAATATTCCAACGCACGGCGGTGCCGTCACTTACCCGGTTCTCTGGACACGTGGCGGTTTGCAGGGTTTTGATTTTATGACACTGCAGCTTCCTTGTGGTCCGGGCCTCGCTTACGGCTGTACCCCAAGTCTGGAACCGCGCCGCGCAGGTGCGCCGTAGGTGCTCAGGAAGCATTTGCTGAATGAATGGACAGCCAGTGAACAGCCTTGTACAAATATGTGAATTTGTGCATGTATTTTTGTAGGGAAGATACCTAGTAGTGGGATTGCTGGGTTAGAGGTAAACGTTACTTTGTTGGATGCCACCCAATTGCCCGCCAATCGTAGAGAGGAACGCCCTTTCCTGGAGCCGCGCCCACGCTGGGTGTTACCTGTCCTCCTCTCCCATGGCAGTGGGAGGGGAAAGGAGGGTGCTGTTGCAGGACCTGCAATTTTTGGTGAGGCGGCAGAGCTCCTCCTGCCCCCCTCCTGCTCCCGGGGCCCACTGGGAGTCACGCCCGGCCCTCCCCCCACTCCCAGGTCCTGAGGACTCGTGCGAGGCCTACAGGCACGTGCTGGGCCAAGACAAGGTGTCGTACGAGGTGCCCCGCTACCACGGGGACGAGGAGCGCTTCTACGTGGAAGGCCTCTCCTTCCCTGACGCCGGCTTCACGGGACTCGTCTCCTTCCACGTCACCCTGCTGGATGACTCCAACGAGGTAGGGGCAGAGAGGGTTAAAAAAGGGGCCCATTCCTGGCAGACGTGGGCCCCGCTGGTGTGGAAGACCCCAGGCTTCTTGACCACCCCGCTGGCCCATCACTGTGTTGCAGAGAAGCAAAGGGCTTTCTTAAAGACCATGATGCCCTATAGTCCCAGCTACTGGGGAGGCTGAGGCAGGAGGATCGCTTGAGCCCAGGAGTTTGAGGTTGCTGTGAGCTAGGATGACGCCACGGCACCACTCTAGCCAGGGCAACAGAGTGAGACTCTGTCTCAAAAAAAAAAAAAAAAAAGACCACGATGGTGGAATCAGAACTCCCACCCAGGCTCTGGACTCCGAGTCCAGTGCTCTTTCCCCCTGGTCCGCCCCTGCAGCATTTCTCAGAGTCCCCGATCTTCACTGACACTGTGGTGTTCCGCGTGGCACCCTGGATCATGACACCCAGCACCCAGCCGCCCCTGGAGGTGTACGTGTGCAGGTGAGTCTGGGGGCAGTGGGTGTCCTCACCTGGTGGCCCCTCTGGCCCTTAGGCCCTGGCTCTGTCCTGAGCTGCTCTCCCCGGGCTCGTCCGCAGCGTGAGGAACAACAGGTGTTTCGTGGACGCGGTGGCGGAGCTGGCCAGGAAGGCCGGCTGCAAGCTGACCATCTGCCCGCAGGACGAGAATCGCAACGACCGCTGGATTCAGGTAATCACAGCCACCGGGCGGGGCCCAGGCAGGACGCCCTCACTGGGGGATGCCCGGAAAGATCCAGAAGGACCAGGTGCTCCCCGGATACTGGCTGATCTTTCTGATTCAACACCTGGAGGCCTCGCTCCGGAACTTCCTGGAGACCCAGGCACCCACTGACGCTGGCGTCAATGTGCGTTTACCCCCCAGATCTGGGCTGGGCCTGCAGGGATGGCAGGGTGTGGGGCACGCACCCCCTGCCCTCAACAGCTGAGACCAGGGGTTCTCAACAAGAGGCGACTTGGTTCCTCAGGGGGCATTTGGCAGTGTCTGGAGACGTTTGGGTTATCACGCTGGGGGCGGTAGTGCTACTGGCCTCTAGTGGGCAGAGTTCGGGGATGCCTCTAAACCTACAGCAACGTGCAGGACAAAGCCCCCAACGACGGATGATCCGGTCCAACGTGTCGACAGTGTCGAAGCTAAGAAGCCCGGATGTGGTGCGCGATTGCTACAAAAGTCCCCACTCCCACGATCTAGGGTGCATCAGCGGTGCCCGCAAAGCACCGGCAGGGCTTGTGGGAGGTGGCGTCACCTCTGCCTGGGGAATCGGTGGAGACCTCTGGGAGGGAGGGCAGCTGGGCTGGACGGGATCTGGCAGATGGTGCGTGATGATTGCTGCCACTTGTTAAGCATGCGCTGCCGCCCACATGTGACATCATTGCGTCTTCCTGGCAATCTCTGTGCGTACTCCGGTAATTAAGGGGCTCTCGGGGAGCAGGCCTAGGCCACAGAGCTGGTACAGGCGGTGCTGGGACCAAGCTCCCAACCTCCAGGCTGCACAGGGTGGTGGTCCTGGCAGAGGACCGGCAGGTGCAAAGGCCCGGGGGGCAGGGGCATGAGAGAGACCCTGTGTGTTCTCTTTGGCCAGGGCAGTGGCTCTGGGAAGGGAAAGGGTTCAGGCAGGAGACTTGAATGCCAAGCTAAGGAGCTTTTGTTCTGGCTGGAGATGAGTCCAGTGAGGGGATTTGGGGCAGGATTCTGGAGCAAGAGGGGCTGGGTTTAGATCCTGGCTGTGCTATTGACTAGCTGTCAATAGCTGTGAGCCCTTGGACAAATAACTAGACCTCTCTGTTCCTCACTTTCTTCATCTGTCACGTGGGGTAACTATCGTGCCCATGCATGGGGTGCCATGAGGATTAATGGAGTTAATATTCATAAAGAGCTTAGGGCAGGGCCAGACACATAGCGGGTGAGCTTCTCTTTGGATACGTAGTTCTTTGGTGCTGCCAACTTTGCCTCCGGAACCAGAGGGGAGCGTGTTTATGGGTTTGAGGAGGAGGCACATCTCTACCCAGCCCCCCAGATCCCCTCATCCCTGTCCAGCTCAGGCCACCCTGAGGCCCTCTCTGTATCTACCCGGCCCTGGCCCGGCACGGCGAGACCCCCAAGGTCATGTCCATGTTCTCATTCACTCCTGGCCTCTGTCTTGCTGTGTGACCTGGGGCAAATGCACACCCTCTCTGGGCCTCCAGCGCCTCTTCCAGTCAGCAGGCATCCTGATGCCAGTCCCCCCGCCCCGCCTCCATGGCCAAAACAGGCCTGAGACAGAGAACTCACGTGAGCGGTCTTCCCCGGGGGCTCTGTGCCGAGCCAGCAGGGGAAGCCGTGCCTGTCCTCAGCTGCGTCTCTCTGCTTGTTCCCAGGACGAGATGGAGCTAGGCTACATCCAGGCGCCACACAAGACCTTCCCGGTGGTCTTCGACTCCCCGCGGAATGGGGAGCTGCAGGACTTCCCCTACAAGAGAATCCTGGTGAGGAGTCCCCGGCCGCGCCCACTCCTGAGAGCCCAGGGGCCTTACCCAGACCCACCGGGGGTGTGGAGTTCAGAGGTCAGCCCTGGGAACCTCGTTCTTCAGGGACGAGAGTAGGGTTGCCAGGTAAAATACAGGAGATGCCCAGTAAGTTTGAATTTCAGATAAGCAACAAGTCACTTTTTGGTGTAAGTATGGCCCAAATATTGCATGAGACATACTTATACAAAGAATGTGTTGTTTATCTGAAATTCAAGTTTCACTGGGCGTCTTGCATTGTCATTTACCAAGCCTGGCAGCCCGAGATCGGGGAGGCAGGATGGTGCGGCCGTGTTAAGAACACAGGCTTTTGGGGCAGAGACACCCAGCTCTGTCACTTCCATGCTGTGTGACGTTGTGTGAGTTTCTTCCCCTCTCTGAGCCTCCATTTCCTGATCGATAAAAATGATGTTTTAGCCCCAGCCTCACAGGTGTTTGAGAAGCCTGTCATTACCGCAGTGCCTGCAGGAGGGAGCACGCACCGCTGTTAGCGGGTGTTGCTATTGGTAATAAAAAGGATGACAGTGAAGGTGACCACCACTGCTGACCAGGACCCCCTTGAGGAAAGAGGGGCGACTTCTTTGGTGCCATAGAGAACAGGAGACCCTTCTACCCGCCCGCTGATACACAGGTGTTAGGAGCTCTCGCCTGGCCCTCAATGTTGTCTAAGTTCCCTCTGAGAGATGGCCGTGGGCAGGTCCCCTTTTCCAGAGTTTAAAGACTGAGGCTCAGAGGGCCACCACCAGCCCCTTGGTCCCCAAGGACGGGCCACTTGAGCTGATACTTGCCCTTGGGCTGGAGGTGGCAGGAAGGGCGTGCAGTGTAAGGGGATGGCCATGGCCCCGGCTCCATGTCCAGAGGGGTGTGTGGGGGCAACCGGAGCCTTCCCGCGGTCTTCCTGCGACCCTGGGGCTGATACTGCCCTAACAAGGCAGGGCCTGAGTGGCCCCTGTGTGAGCAGGAAGTACTGACGGGGTCAGATCCCCTTCCCTGTCTCTGACTCGGTATTTCCATCTGAAGAATGGGTGGCAACTCCCACCCCATTGTTAAGGAGCGCAGAGCCCAGCAAGCTGTGCGAGCTCTTCCTGGCGCCCTCCACCCCTCGCGACACAGTTTCCCTCTCCAGGGTCCGGATTTTGGTTATGTGACTCGGGAACCACGAGACAGGTCTGTGAGCGGCCTGGACTCCTTCGGGAACCTGGAGGTCAGCCCCCCGGTGGCGGCCAATGGGAAAGAGTACCCCCTGGGGCGGATCCTCATCGGAGGCAACCTGCCTGGGTGAGAGAGGGGCGGGGAGTGGAGATCGCGGGTTGAGGCTGGGGGCTGGTGGTGGTGGTGTCACAGGGAGGGGGAAGGACCGTCCTACCCCTTGAAGAGAACCAGGAAGAAGAAGTGATGCAACTGTAGTCCTGGATGTCGCGGGGGTGGCGGGCCGTTCACCAAACACTGTCCACCTTCCCTCGGGAAGTTTGCAAAGGCTGAGAGAGCAGGGACCTAAAGATCATTTAGCCCAACCCTTTCATTTGACAAGTGGGCCCAGAGAAGGTAAGTGAGCCGCACAGAAGGCAAACTTAGGACTGGACTCAGGTCATCTGATTCTGGAAATAAATAAATGATGCTAGTAACAGATGCTAGTAATAGTAATAGAAGAAAATGTTTCCATTCTCAACAGTCCTGGGAGAAAATGCATTTAAGTCAAAGCTCTTTCTTACTACCATGTAAATGACTAACATCAGATCTTTTCCAGAGAACAGAAGGGTGGCGTAAGACATGAAAGGTGGGACAGCAGTAACACACAGAGAGAGCAACAAATTATGTATCATTCAAGATGAGACACAGGGGCACTGATGGAAAAGAAGAGGGATTATATCACAACAGTGACATGCTGTGGCATAGACCAAGACATCGAGCCAACCCAGTTCAGCAAAGCCATTAGGACAGACTTAGGATCAAATCATAAATGAATCCAGAGTCAAGCCATGGAGGGGACTAATGGCCCACAAATCCATGATCCCCTAGAAAGAGGAAGTTGGGGCCATGTCATTAGATACTCTTTCATAAGGATTGAATGTGGGGGTGAAATCCGTCTCTTAGAGAATGTGAGAATGGGGTGTGAGGGTGGCTCTGAGGGTTTTCCTGGGTGTGGGACCTGGTGGGTCATTGCCCCGGTGGGATCCACCTGTCCCGAGTCTGCTCCGTCCAGAACTCACCCTGAGTGGAATTTAAAATACACAAAGTCATGGTCTGTCCTGCTTACAGAAGCAATGCATATATATTTTTTAAATCAGATATTGCAGAAATCTTGAACTCTTGTCATTCCATTTCTGCATGAAATTGTTTTTAGTTAAGCGACTTTTTTTTTTAACCCACGGGCCCCAGGTCGAGAGGCCGCAGAGTCACCCAGGTGGTGCGGGACTTCCTCCATGCCCAGAAGGTGCAGCCCCCCATAGAGCTGTTTGTGGACTGGTTGGCCGTGGGCCACGTGGATGAGTTCCTGTGCTTCGTCCCTGCTCCCGACGGGAAGGTAAGGACTTGGGTGACAAGTCTTTCCTCGGCATCTGGGGCGTGGGCTGAGCTCCAGGGGCCCCACCACGGCAGGGGGCTCAGGCGAGTCTGTTCTCTGCACACAGGGCTTCCGGATGCTCCTGGCCAGCCCCGGCACCTGCTTCAAGCTCTTCCAGGAGAAGCAGAAGTGGGGCCATGGGAGGGCCCTCCTGTTCCAGGGGGTCGTTGGTGGGTAACAGCGCCGTGTCCCTCCTCACAGCTTGCCTGCCCCTTGCCCAAATTAAGATATATCATGGCTTAGGGAGGGATGAGAAATTTTAAAGCAGGGCTGTCCCCCCAAATTCAGGACCCTTCCCTCCTGCCCCTGCACACCTTGCTTCACCAGCCACCACTGTCCATGATTGGGACAGAGCTGAGGCAGGGCAGTGGGTGGTGGTCGGTGGACGTAGCCAGAGTGGGGACGTGGTGGCTTCTCAGGCATGTGACCATTGCAGTCACACCGTGGAGCGTGGTGTTTAAGGTTCTGTAGTCACTGTCTTGGAATGTTAATGATTTGTGTTTTGAAAGTGAAATCTGGTGGATCGACGAAGCACCTGCGGGGGCCTGGAACTTCTGCCCCTGCACAGTCCCGTCTCCCGGCCTCCCTGGGATGGGTTCTCTGCCATCCACTCTCATGGCCCCTGGAGCCCAGGGCCAGGCTTCCCCATCTCTGTCACTGCCCAGCGAGGCTGCAGCCCTCTGCCCCCAGCGGAGGTGGGGTTGGGCACACTACACTCACCCCTCGGCATCTCAGGGTAGGGCGCGGCATCAATTGTCCCTGCGGGGCATTTGGTGGGCAACTTGGTGGTGGCCAGCCTCTTGCCCACC